GTGATCTATCTTTTTAGGAATCTTTCAATTCCTGCTTTCCATTCTGATAACAGGACTAACTAACTGACTAACTAACTATATATATAATATATATATAATTTGTCTCATTCCTCACCTCTACAAATGTTCACAAAAACTGTTTCAAAACCCCCCAATAATTGGCATGATCATATTTGTTCCTTCTATTTAAAGGTGCCCCAGAGGATGCCCCAATTCTGCAGGAAGCAGCTAGAGAACTACACCCATTTCCCTATGTCCATAGAAATCGAATGAGTAAACAAACAAGTGGGGATTTGAAGGAGCAGGAAAGGAACTGACTTTCCTGATGCTAGAACTGCTTGCTGATTCTTTGAGTCCCTGTCTGATAAACTGTTAATGTCTCTGTCTCTGACAGAGTTCTTTCTTTAGTCTCAAGGCTTGGAAGTTGCAAGGATATGTCTTGACTGAAATAAAATGCACAACCTAAAATGTAAGAGTTTTGTTTTACTTGGTGGACATTTCTGAGGACTCAAAGCCCTCCAGCCCAGGATGACAGCCTCTCAGGTTGCTCCAAAGAGGTAGAGGAGGAGCCAGGATACATAGGAGTTTTTATAACAAAGACCAGGTAGTCAGAACATCAAAAGATTACTGTTAATTAAAGAAAACCAGATATCTCAAGTTAAGGAATTTAGCACTTTTCTATGTATAGGAAGGCACAAAGGTAAGGGCTCAATAAAATCATTTCTTTGATATGCACCTAGGTGTCTAGGGCCGGTATCCTGTTTTTCCACATCCTGACTTCCCTCAGAGTATACCATTGGGGGTGGCTGCGGAGGCTGGGCTGCCTGCTTGTCTGCATCCTTAGCTCACTCTAGGGCTAGTAGTAGTGGCTGATGACTTGATGGCCAAAGCATTCTTTGTTAACTGATATGGCTTGCAATATTTTTTGTTCACACTGTTCCCCCTTGGTCCTAAATTCAACCAATATTTTGGGAGACATTTCATGGCCAATTTTGTCCTATGTGCTGGGAAGTCTCATTCCTTGGTCAGGGAAAGAGGATTCTGTTGATGTTCCACTCAAGGTGCTAATTTTGGATCAGGGCCTGTAATATTCAAAAAACTCTCTGGATCATCTGTCTTACTAGTCTATTAGGATCCAATAAATGTTTTCCCTTGTTGCTTCTTCCCATACCTAGAATCACACTATTACAACTATTCTATGTAGAGTTATAAGTGTAATCTAATTCCTCATGGTGTTTAGCCATCATCAATTTTGTTAGAGGCTTGATTACAAATTGGCTAATGTAAGAGCCAACAATCTTATAAAATAGACAGAATATAAACAATACAGCTAGTAACATTAATAAAGTACAAAATGTAACAATGTGGAAACAAAGAACAAATTAAAACCATGATTAGTATAATTAGTTGTAATCTGGATGCAATAACCATCAGGTCCACAGGAGAGCCAGCTGGAGAATTAAATTCTGGAGAGATCAGGTAGAGAGAAAAAGATAAATATTTTATCCTTGTTTATAAAGGCATATTTTATCAACTTGTTGTAGGTCATAGCACAAGAGGAAAGGTTTTTTGGAAAATAAAAATTAAAGACCAGTATATTTCTCAAAAGCCATAAGGCTGTCAATCATATTTATCAATTTATTCAGTCCCATGTAATTAATTCCTATTCAGCTGAATGAAGTTATCAGGTATTCCATCAGCGTTTCATAATTTACCCAGTTACCCAGTACCCAATTTATCTAGCTAATTATCAGAAACGTGTATTGGTTTAAAACTCCCTTTTTATGAATCTTCCTGAAGAGCTTCATTTTATAAAAGATTCAGAGTAAAACAATGATTGTTTATATAAATGACAAAACAAAATGGCATGGTTAAAGATTTGATTATAATGCAACAGACAAGCAACTTGGATATTTCTGACATACAACATTTTAAGATAATAATTAGAATTACAACTGATACTAGGCCATATTAGATTTTTAGAAATTCCATACAAAATTTGGAATATCTATATTAGGGACTTTTGTCTCTATGATATAACCTAAGCTTTATCTCCAATCACTTGACAATGTTTTTAAAATAATTTAACATACCAAATAAGTCTAATTAGTTTCATATTTCTCTTTTCAGTGTTTCAGGGGGCCCTCTGAAGCATCCCAAAGTTAGCTGAAGGTCAAAAGAACTTTAATCAAAATTTGATATTTGGGAAGCTTGTTAGAAAGTTTCAAAACATTTGTACTTGATTGCTTTTTATAGGTACTAATAAAACAGCTGATTATAATGAGAGCTCTGTAAATGTTACCAATTTAGAAGTTTCTCCGATTTAAAGGATCCATCATCTGGCCATCAATAAGTTATATATATATTAGTAGTGATTTTAAACCAATAAGATGAGGAGACTTCCCCACGAGACAGTGAGGGGTGCCCCCTAAATAAGATTTAAAACTTTACTCCCACAAAAAAGTAACGGCCTTTGTGATCTAGGCTGCTGCAATGAAGGTTAGGATGGGAAAAGCCTGAGAACTGGTACAAAGGATTGCTCAGAATCCCAATGTATTTGCTTGGCTGCCAAATGTGCACCATACTCATACCTATTGTATGACAGAGCCCAAGTTTTTAAAAACACATACACACATATACACAAATGAAACACCAAAGAGGATCAGGTGCATTCCAAACGCATAGGAAGAGAAATGCAAGTTTCCCCTAGAAAGAGTTTTATTTTTGTAAGGTCAGAATTCTGGCTTTTTTAACTTAACTGTGTAACCAATAAAAGACCTTCAACTTAGTTGTTTTCTGGGCAAGATTTCCCTGTCCCAGCCTCCATTGGAAGGGCAGAGAGTGCAGGGAGCCTAGCAAGGCCAGACCACCAGGGCAATCCAGAACAGGAGAGGAGAGGATCTGGGTCCCAGCCCCTTGGGTTGCCACAACCAATGGCCCAGGCTGTAAGGTGGGAGGACGGGAGCAGAGGAAAACAAGCCCAGCAGCTGCCAAAGCCCTTTTAGCCTCAGGACTCTTTCTTCCTCCTTCCAACCTCAGTCTGGACCTCCAGCTGCTCAAAAACTTGGGAGAGAAAAGAACTCTGCTAGTGATGCAGAGACTCCTCAGCCAGGACTAGGGTGAGTTTCCTGGTGATGACTAATGCCCCCTCGACCCTATCTGGGGCTCCCCAAGGCAGGGGAGTCCCCGGTTTGATGGGGCTCTCTCCTGGAGAGAGTGCTCCTGTGATAGGCGCCAACTGGATAGCGGTCATGGGCTCAGTGAGACTACCAAGCTGTTGTTTTGACTTTGAATTTTGATTTGTACCTGCTTTGAATTTAGAGTCTTCTATTTGCTAGGCGAGGTTTGAATTTTGTATTGTGTGTACACGAAAGATCAAAATGGGTGGTACCATTTCAATTCCATCAGACAGTCCCTTAGGAAAAATCTTGACCACCTTGTTAAATTCCAATTAGTTACCAGCTTCAATGCAGTTGAAATGCAAATGTTTTACCTAGTCTCCTCCAGAAACCCTGATCTCATCATCTTTTTAAAAAATGCAAATCTTAGGAAAGGGAGTAAATAATTTGGAACTTGACCTGTTAAAGATAAATAGCAATCTTGTCTCTTCTGTAAATATTAGTTAAAAAAAACTATGAGGCCTCTGTGGTGTGTATGTTTGTGTGTCACAGGTGTATGGTATTGCCAAAATTAATTCTAAACATAACTATTTAATTTGCTTAAAGGAAATTAAGAGCCTATTTGAATACCAAGAAATATAAAGAAAACTGACCAGAATAAATTTCAGGTTCACATGATCTGGGAAATATTCAGTACTAAATCAATATCTGGTATTAAAATCAATATCTGGTATCTTAAGCTTGTTGGTTTAATTAATAGACACATGTCTTTACAATCATCAGTGTTAGGTGTAATATTTCTGTGATACCTCGGTTTACTAGAGGGCAGAAAAGATCTTATTATATATGTTGCAAAATTGTCAACAGGGAAAATAACTCAATGTGAAAAAACAAGCTTTCAAGAAAAGTAAAGGTAAACAAGATAAGAGCTTTTAGGTAAACTCTATAGAAATAACTTCGTTTGGGGAATGTCTATGTAAAATTGTCTCTCCAGATTTTGGTAACTTGAAACTAAGTGAAGACAACTCACTATCTGTGCCATTTATGAAATACTGAAACATTAATTGCTGGGCAGGTCTTAGTTACCTACGTTTGCCTTCGTAGGAAGGAGAAACTGAAGCATAAATTTCCAATCAGGAAATGCTGATATGACAGCCAATTCACAATGACTCACTTCTTGGTTTTTGCCAGAGAGTTAAGCTTTTTCAGGGTTAAAATTAAAAGTAATTAGAGCTACAAAAATAATGGACAAACTCATATGGACACAGAAAGTGATAAAAAGTTTGTAAAAGAGAAACCCTGAAAAAAGAGTTTTATGGCTAAATTTAGGATAAATTTAGTTGAGTAAATTAAAAATAAGCTAGTGCAAAACTGGAATTTGATTCTGTCTCCGCAAAAAGGACAAAGTTTTCTTAAAATGTTCATCTGCTTTTGGTAACAGATTGTAACTTTTTTTAATCCCTTAAGTGATCTGTTCTGTATTTGCTTTGAAATGTTTTATTATTATCCTGGGAGTAAATAATATTTAACAGTGACCTCATGTGTTTTAAAACCTTTGATTTTTTAACAATTCCCAAATATGAAATTTTGATTAAAGTTCTTTGACCTCCAGCTAACTTTGGGATGCTTCAGAGGGCCCCTGAAACATCCCAAAGAGAGGTATTAAACTAATAAGGTTCATTTGGTATGTTAAGTCACATGGGAAGTATTATAAATAAATAATACATCTGCTTAGGTTATATTGTATGAAAAAAGTTAATATATATTCTAGAAATTATATGGAATTCCTAAAAATCTGGTACATCTAAAGTGTTATCAGTCATAATTCTGGTTATTGTAAACAAGTTTCTTTATCAATTATGGTGTAACCAGGTATTTAATCAAGCTTATATCTTTTGTCATTCATAGACAGTTATGGATTTACTGTGATACCTATTGGGGGAAAAATGCTTTTTCTTCAAGAACGTTTATAACAAGAACGTTTTTGACAAGTACAAGTTTCTGATAACTTTTAAATCATACTACTGAGCTGGGTAAGAAATTTTAAAAGTCTAATAGAAACTCAGATAGCATAATACTGTTAACAAAGAGGACTAATTACATGAGACCGAATAAACTGATCAATATGACCGCAATTTTTGGTTTTGTCAGAAATATTACTGACTTTTAATCTGTGTTTACCAGATGTAAGGAAACCCTTCTCAAGCTAATTATGACTTAGAGCAACTTGGTAAACTATACCTTTGAAAGCAGAATTGAAACATTTATCTTTTCTCTCTCTCTTTGACCCCTCCAGAGACTGGAAACTCTTAGGTTCCCAGCAGCTTTACAGGTAAATTAGGAAGGCCGCTTCCTGACAAGTGAAAAAGGGAGGAATTCACCTAAATCTGTAAGACAAAATGTGACACGTTGTTGATGTGGTTTTCCTGGCCTTGAGAGGCCTTTTGGAAATTCAGTCTGAGATTCTCTCTGAGGAATTCCAGCACAGCTAAAAGAGCCTATAAAAATCAATTAATCTTCATTTGCCTATATTTGATTTTAAATGGGGGTAATTATACAGAGAAAAAGATTATGTTTCAGTGGATATTAAATTCTAGTTTTGTTAACTGAGATCTATAATTACTGACTCACTTCCCAGACCATTCCTTGCTGTTAGGTTATATTGTCGCTAAGTTTAATTGAATTATTAAAAGAACACTCTAGGTTTATTTCTGAAGCTTGGTAATCTATTTTTGGATGAAGATCCAATACCCCATGACCTGCAACCAGGAGATTATGCATACTAGAAATTACATGATTTAAAGGACTATCTCCAAGCAGGATAGAAGGACCTTTATCAGGTACTCTGAACTAGCTCATGCACAGTGAAACTGAAGGAAATTGACTCTTGGATTATTTTCCACTCAGAAAGGGCCCCTGCAGTGGACTGGCCTGTAGAGAGGACTGTTGCACCTTAAAACAAAGCTCAAATGGAGAAGAAGCTACCAGACAAGGATGAGAAGAAGTAGACAGCTGACTCAAGACACTGGACCAGGCCTGTATACCAATTACTTTGATAATTGCTCACATCTTTGCTTAGGAACTTAATTTCAAGAAGAGGTACCTGGGTTATCCTCAGTGAAACGCACTGGGAAGGGATAAAAGTTGATAGCATTGAGATAAAAGTTTATAAAAGTTGGTATATTTAAATAAGCTTTATATAAGATGGTTATATCTCCTTTGCTTAATTATATTGTGGGATAAACATGTTTCGTTGGGGAATGCTCCCCTTGCTTAGTATTGTAAGACAGGACGTATAGCTCTACCCTTCATGAAATATTGATCTCCCAGTTTTGCAAAATTCAACCTAGGGGACTACAAGATGGAACAGAACAATTATTTCTATTCATGGCCAATATGATGAGAGACAGGCAGGCTAGCAGATCAGTATCCAGCACCATGAGAATGGAAAGTTTCCTACCTACCCTTCCAGACAAAGGTGCAAACAAGCCTTCTTTGTGTTTCCCAATTGCCACTCAGGCAGTGCTCTGTCTCAAATCCACTTTTCCTCAACCAACAGGGGAAAAAATCAATCAAATCAGCACCCAGCTCAAAATTTGATAACCAAGTCCTATGGTTTTGTCCCTGTCCCCCGACCCCAAAACAGGTCCAAATTTCAAGGCATCCTAATAGGGAAAGATAACA